ATGGCCAAAGGTTTGGCGTTTATTAACCAGTTTCAATTCAAACACATATAGATTACAGCATGCTAGACTTCAAATGATTGTGTAAGGATTTTGTCACATCACTGACATTTTGCTATGTTTTGAAGCCAGATTTGAATAAATTATTACATATTACGGCTTTAATACATAATTACACCCTTTCGTCAAGTTCAGTGCCAAAGGTCTAAATGCTTTGTTCGAGAATGTTAGTGAATAAACCAAGAAAAACAGTGGAAAAGTTGGCAATAAAGAACTGGACAAGTTTAAAGCAGGCTTAGGTATAAAACAACATCCCAAATGCAAAATGTGTTTGAGAAATAGAGTGCACATCACCCTGAACAATTCTGAGCAATGATCTTACAATTGGATGGTTTAGATTGAAGCATATACAAGTTAATCTAAGTAAGAATTAGTGGAAGAGCTCAAAAATCAGTGTTTTAAAGATGTTCTCAATCCAATCCGACTGCAAATGATTGACAGAAACCGGCAGACATTTCTTTTTTTGCAGCGAAGATTTGTTCGACACGTCTCTGCTCTTCCTACTTTTTGCTTTAACTTTCAATAAAATATGTTGAGGTTTGAGGTTGTGCAATGACATAACCTTTACAGGCTCAAGATGTGTGAACAAAAAGGGGAAAACATGTAGGACAAACTGATATCTGAGCCTAAATTTGACACTTATTAAAAAAAAAAGAAAATGAAGCAAAAAGTGGCATTTTAATGTATAATTCTGCATGTATTTTTCACACTGGCTTTCAGGTCATAAATAAGTTGTTCCATTTGTTAAAATTAGCTCATTTTGAGTCTTCGCACATGACATTTATATTCATTGAAGCAAAGAAACGGCACATATTTCTAGCTTGTCTCCGATTCGCACTGTTTCGGAGACGGTTAATTCAGCTTCTCCAAGTGAAACAGAGACAAACCTCGAAAGACAAAAAAAAAAAATTCAAGGGAGGTCCACGACTCTCCATTCTCTCTGATTAGTTACAAAGGTCTCCCTTTTTGCTGCCGCTATCATAGTCGAGATACACAGCCAAGATAATTTGGCGCCCTCCCGGCAGCTAGACCAAAAGCACATCTATCCGCGGGAGCCGCCAGCCTCCTCGGTGAAATTTAATTCGGTGAGAAAGCACAGCCTTGCAGAAGCATCCACCCCCATATTCATCAGCCGCCATCGATTATCGAGGCCCGGTGTTTTTAGGGATGCAACGAGGAGCGGATAAAAAATTTGAATTCCTGGCTGGACTATCAGTAAAGGTTATTAAGCCATTGTTGATGCATCCATTTGTCGTGGCTGTATCCAGCAGTGTGACATTTATCAAGTATGTCCAGCTAAATGTCACAGAGAGAGGTAGCTCGCTGTCCTGTCCCTAATTAGGACCCTGAAAGTCACACTGAAAGTCCCTCTCTTCCACTCCAGGACAACTTTGATCTCTTTCTCTTTCTTACTCTTGCCTGTATTTTTCTGCACCCTCCCTCCTTTTGTCTTCCCTCTCCCCGGTGTTTCCCAAAGCATAGCAGGTAGTGCATGTTAAGCAAACTTTGGGGTTTTAACAATTGATTGTGAGATGGGGATAAAGCTCAGACAAATGGGGAAGCATGTGGGCCATCCGTCACAAATACAGGACTCATTGTTTGCAGATTTTAACCTATGGGAGAGCTCGCTTCTTCCCCAGCGGCCTCCACAAATCATAGGCAGGCGAGGGAGCGCAGCGCGCTCGGCAGGCCTGGCCTGGGAATAGCCTGAAAGCGGGACGGAGACTCAGCTGCGTGAGCAAAGTGCCAAGCTTGTACTACTTGCACTCGCTCCCAACGCACCAGCCCCAGTTTTACAAGCATGAAATTGATTTTTTTTTTTTTTGTGAGATTATAGAAGGGAAACATGAAAATGTATGTGAAAATCAGAAGAGGTAATTAGATGAAATTTAGAGTAGTGGCATATTTAATTTTTTTCAAATTTGCAGAGTTTTTCAGAACTTTTCTGGACATCAGAGCGAGACGCGTTCGTTTCTGTGTGGTTCACAAATCCTCAACAGCACATGAAGCAAAATAGATAAACTCAGCTTTTAAAGGCTAACACTTGGACTTGTGCAATGGATTTACTAAATACCATAACAAAGTCGCCGTTCTGTGCGTTGCGTCACAACTCTGAGCAAACAACGCAGGTGTTGCAGACTTTTTTTGAAGTCTGCAACACCTTCATCATATTTGGCTTCTAAACCAGAACCACAGGTCCAGTTTAACAGCTGCTCTAAAACAATATGGAGGCAAAAACATTAACAGACAATAGCAAATCAACATTCATTCCTAATCATTTCCAGGGCCTCTGGCGAGATGTAAAAGTTCTTTGTTTTCCCCATCCAATCTGACTGAAAATTAAATATTTTTGCAAAACAAGGTTGAAAAACCACATTTGATTAGCCATCTTTATTCCTTATAAATTCCTAATTATGCTGTTAATTCATAAAAAACGAGCCGGCGGATTCATGTCTGGGTAGTTTTATTCAAATGATGGAGTCTGGACAAACATGGTCACACAATGGCTTAGCTCTCAGTGAGAACATGATTTATACAACATAATGAGGCGTCGCAAAGATCACAATGGCTGCTTGGTCCATAAGATGGCATAACTGGTTTCTATTCACACATTACATCATCAATTAAGATTGTCCAGACACTGTTCGGAACAATACGTGTCTCATAATCGCTGGAACATCTGTCTTAATAACGTGCGTGCAGATAAAGCACAGTGTCCCATCAGCCGAGTGCTCTTCCTGCCAGGTTTGACCCAGATTGCTGCATTTGTCAAAAATGTTGGATAACAGCTCAGTTCTCACACACTCCTGTAACACTAAACTCTCCTTTTGACTGTATTCTTACCTGTCTTAAATTTTGGTTCAAGGTAGGGACAGGAATTTATTGTATTATTTATTTTCTTATAGCAATGAGAATGTTATGATAATTTCCAGTTAACATTTGATTGACATATACTATTTTCTGCACTTTGTTTAATAAGACTATCAATACATTTTAAAATAATGATTAAATTTGTGTGATTTTTGTGGCTATGATTGCTGTGAAAGGTGGTCCCAGCTATACAGTTACCCATGAAAAGAAAAACAAGATACAATAAGAAATAAATAGTTATGACGAAACTAAGTTGAAAAGGTTAAAGGGTTGGTGATATGTTTGCAAGATATTGCATATTGTAGGAAATTATCTTTTACATTGAGTTGAGCTGGACATTATTCAAACATTAGCCATAGAGAACAAATCATTGATTTTATGCTACAACATGTGCAGCTCAAGTCATCTATTTTATGTTTAGTTCCTAAATTTTAGGAAGAAACAAAAATGATCCCGTTTCAGAGACTTCAAAACATTCATTGTTTCCAATCGCTGCTTTAACTCCTTTTCTCGGAGTCTCTGACAACTTAAGTTACAGGCTTTTGTGTACTGTGAATTGATGCTAATTATAATCGCCTGATGAACCTGGCACAGAGTCCAGTTTTTAATAGTATTTCTGTGCAACATTTAATTACTGGTAATTATTTTGGCATGGTATCGAGTTCAGTGCATGCTTTTCAGAATCATTCAGTCGCCGTTCTGTGCGTTGCGTCACAACTCTGAGCAAACAACGCAGGTCACCTTGGGGGGGTTTTCTTCTTGTTGTTTTTGTAGTTGGTGTGAAATCCATGGCTTGTGTCGGTTCCAAAAACTTTCTGTTCTTTTTTTTTTTTTTTTTGGTGTTTTTATATGAATTTCTTATGTTTGTTTTGGCTGCGCGAGCTTTGAAAAAAGTCTAAGCTGCATGGAAACCCAACGCACACGAAAACAAGAAACTCTTTGAAAGATCCTACATGGAATGTCGAATCTTCCTGCGGTCCGGATGAAATCACATCGTGAGAAACACCTCGGACCCCTTTTCAAAGGCGGAGGAAACAATATAAGCAGCAACAATCTTTTATACGGCGCTCTTTACACATGAGATCTGATTCAGGTATATAGAAGGCGTCTGAAGTGTCGAAGGACGGCACATATGGAGTTCTTAATGTTGGAGCATGTTGCATTAATGTGTGGTGGGCTAGCCCAGTGGTGAGTATCAGGAGACCTCCTACCTGTATGGAGACGGAGCCAAAAACATAGCCTTGGACTCATGGGAGAAATGGCTCTGAAGCCTGAGATTGATGATAGTTGGGGTTTGCATGAGTATGTGCAATATACGAACCTATTAAATGGATTTTTTATGTGTTTGTTTTCATTAGTTTGACGAGCAGAATGCGTGGGTCATGTTAATGAGGTTTCAATTTTTTTCCTCAGTGGTAAATACTTGCATGAAGAAATCCACATTTTACAAAATTCGTGCACAAGCATGCGCCCCGCTTCCCAGGTCCCACGCCTCCCAGGTCCTACGCCTTCCTTTCTGCTTTTCTGTCATTTAATTTCCCCCCTCACTCGCTCCCTGCTGATTCCTCCCTCGTTTCCCGGCTGGGCCCCCTTGGCCTTCAGGTTCCCCCTAACTGAATCTTGTGCCGTTCAGGCGTCTATAGGGGCCCACCTGCCATAACGCAAATAATGCACAGAATTCCTCTGCTTTGGAAGAAAGGTGATAATGCCTTTCTGGGGCTGTCGCGTCCCCGAGGAGCAATGCAGCACCGCGCAGCGCAGTGTCGAGCAACGTGTGAGGGAAGGTTTGCATAACCTTTTGATAAGCACATACAGTACCAAAGTAAACACACACACACACACACACACACACACACACACCACACCACACACACCCACACACACACACACACACCCCCACACACACACACACACACACACACACTCACAAAATGCATGTGCGGCCCATTCTGAGAATACCGACTTCTTGCAAATGTTCTGTGAGGATGAAATGTTGTCATCCTTAGAAAATTAGTGAATGACATAATTGACAAAAATTTTACTAAAAAGCAATACGATAAAAAGCTACATACCTGGGTGCGGTGATGGTGCAGGGGTAAAGCGTGTGACCCACATATGGAGATCTGGGTCCTTGACGTGGCTGTCATGATTTGACCTTTGGCACACATCTTCCCCGTCTCGCACAACTCGCTTTCCTGTCAGATCAATGTCAAGTAATGGTTATTAAAGTTGAAAAGATCCTTAAAAACAAAAATCTCTGTACGTACTTCTAATAAGCTACACAGAGAACAGGCTGAGAACAAAGTGACACAATTTTCATCACGCAAACGTGACGATGAGAACCGATCTCGACAGTTCGACTCAACCAAGCAGAAGCCAGATCTTTGCATCACCAAGTCGTTCCCAGTGAGGATTGGACGCCATCAGGGCTACTTTTTTTCCAATAATCCTATTTTTAAACCTCATAGTTGTAATCACAAGATGCAGTTGGTTGTGTGGTTTGGAAATCTGGGCCATGACCTTCGATGTGGAGTTGATCGGTTTGCAGCAGAATGTGAAGCCGGTGGGATGAGCTTGTGTCAGAGATTATTGTTCTCAGCTGGAGAAAGGTGAACGGCTCCCACTAAGTTCAGGGTTAGTCTGTGCCTCATGAGGAGAAGTTCAAATATCAAGGTGTCTTGTTACCGAGTGACGGCACAGAGGAACTGGAGATGGATAGGCTGTGGCTCCATCTGCAACAATATGGGTGCTACTGTATTCTTTTGATATAAAGAAAGACTTTATAAATCTAAGGAATCATTTAATACTAAAACATTTTAAAACTAAGGTTTCTAAAGAAAATACAAAAGGTAGAGGAAGTGCTGGAACAATTTTCTCAGAGATTTTTCCACACATGGGATTTTCATTCTGGCATGAATCTCATTAGGTTCACATATTGCAGTTTGAACTGAAAACACTGATATTTTCTGAGCTAAAATGTGCCAAATTTGGATGACAGAATTGTAAACTCCAAATCAATCGGACGAAAATTCAACTTTACAAATTTTAGCCTCCAGGAAAGCGGAGTGAATATTGTGGTAAAAAGAGACCTTTTAGAAAGTACAGATGCCAACTGAACATTTTTTTTTTAACAAATAAAGAAAAAAAAAGCCTAAAAATGAAATAAACTGATCAGAGTTACAGGAAAAAGTGTGATCACATTTCACACTTTTGTGAGAAATTCTTCAGAGTGGTGCTTTAATTTATAGATTGTGCTTCATTGTCCAAACCACCTCTATGTGGAATCACCTAAAGTCTTCCCCTGTGAACAGCTGAAGCTGAGACACCGCGGCTGGAGATTTTGCAGGCGGTGAATACATTTTTAAAAGTTTCTCCATGGATTCTGTTTCTCAGTCTTGATTAGAAACAGTTTTTGCTACAAAGCAAGTTCTGTGATTCCTACAGGCTTTTATCCCACTCTTTCAAGGTAAGGAAACACATGCATGATAGAAGAATAGTTGTATGAGAATTAAGCAACAAAAAAAAATTCATTTTGTATACATAAAAAGGTTAAGGACTTTGCATTGCCAAAGCATTAAAAAAACACCATTAGGTGAAAACATCAATGTTATGCTTAATACCAGTAGTAAATGAACAAACAGGATGACTGAAAATGCTGCATGTTTAAAAAATGACTTGAAAGAAATTTGATCTTGCAAGACAACATGATAAAATTGGGCCTCTGTCTCTTTAAGAACTCTTGCTCTATGTGAAACTCTACCTTCATGAAGTCATCACAACATGGCTCCTGCATCAACCCTCTAGCAACATTTTTAACAGCGCTGCACTGAGAAGTAGCTCATATGAGGTCAGCAGATGCACCGTTCCAGCAGGTGTTTGCTAATTGCTGCTGGCTAGTCTGAAGGAGCTGAGTAGGGAAGTTGTGGGGGAGGGGAAGGAAGTTTAGAAGCTGCAGCTCTGAGAAGACGGATTCAGGTCCAACCAGACGTTTTTCACAGCTGAAGGGTTGCCACGGGAGATTGAAGGAATTCTCAAACATGCACGGAAAATCAATCAAAGCAACACTCCAGTATGTGTTTTAGATGAGGGAGCAACTTTATAACATAATATAAAGCTTAAAAGTTGATTTTACATGATACTGTCCCTTTTAAAAATGACTAAAATTTAAGCCATTGATCCATTTTGGAAAATCTTTAGTATGATTTCAAAAATATGTACAATCAGTCGGTTTTCAAATCAGAATGTCCAAACGACAGTGAAAGCAAAGCTAAAAAATACAATTCATTAGTTGTTATCCTTCAACAGGACTGAAGATACTTCCACAGAGTGCACACCGTTATCTCTTCCCTTGCCTCTGCACACATGGAAACGACTTTCTTGCAAGCAAACCCCATGCATCCTTTGAGGTTGCAGACAAAGCTTGTGGATTCTCACACACACACCTATGCAAAGTGTTCATCAGCAGCCTCTGATGAATGAAGCATAGCATCAAAGATGACAGACAGTATATTCCCACCAAAGCCTCCTTTTTGTAGTTTAACCTAATCAGTGTTTTCCAAGTGTTTCAATCTGCATCCTGTGGGCGTGAGGGCGTCTTCTTTCAGATATACGACCCAGCAGGGAGCCTGTGTTAACGCTGCCAGGAAAAAACAAGTGGCACAGGAAAGAAGAGCAATTGAAACAAAGATTGGTGTTGATATGAAAGGGACAAGATGTGGCTCAACTCAAATAGAACTGATCAATGAGCCCCTAGGAAGAGGCACGCTGGGAATCTGGCGCTTCCTTGTGGCACATCTTCGCTTTGGAGACATTCAAAATTTGTTGGGGGAAATTTCACGATACTCTTCCCTTTCTCTCCCCCTCCAAAATCAGATCCGTCCGTTACTATTTTTTCTCCTGGAAATCCCGAAGTTCTATAATCCTCCTCTTTGCAAATTTATGCTCCAATGTTTTCATTACTTATTAAAAGCTGTCAAGCCGCAGTTGCCCTTCACTCCATCATCCCCAGGAGTTCCCACATTTGGTGCAGGTCTGAGTGGAGTGGGTATAGCACACGCCATCCATTAGGCACAAAGGCTGTGGGGGAATTCTGTGGAATATTCACTCAAGTCTCCCCCCTTTTTTTTTTATGAATTATCATATTACTAAAGAGGTCCATTTGCTATGTATGGTTTGTTGCCTGGGAGCTCCTCCTAATAGCCGTCTATAAAGCAGGAGGGGGGCTTTGGACTCTGATGTATGCCAGCCAGACCCTACTGTCAGTGGTGGACCAGACCATCATTTATCTTTTTTACTTTTTTTTTTTAAGAGTTCTTCCAGATGAAGAATATTAACATGCACATTTGGCACAGATAAGGCCTAAAACAATCTATGCGGCACAGTTTGCCGACACCACGCTGAGGCGGGTGTTGACGAGGACGGTGGCGGGGCGCGGATTGACGGGACTGGACTGGTCCTCAGAATCCTGAGTGGGACGCAGGGAGGAAAATATCCACACAACATGCTGCTGCGGTCAATTAGTGCGTGCGCCTGGGCCGTACATCATCTGAGAGGACTTAAATGGAAAAAGTGACGTTAGCAAAGTGATGGCTTTTGGAGGCGGCTGAAAATGCATTCGTTCATTTCCTTTTTATGGCGTTTCACAGAATGTATCCTCTGTAACGTCAGGATTGAAAAGTCTGCTAATGTATGATTCTAAGTGGAGTTTTTTTTTTTTTTTTTTTTTTTTTTTTAGTTGTTGCTCTTTTTATTCATGAGAACTATTTATACCAAGTACTGTTAGGACTAGTTTTACCTGGTAAGATGAACAACCCTAAGCCCCTTTCTAATGGCACATTGTGAAGTATGTTTGCTCTGAATGATCCATGATACTTAAAATAAAGCACTTAATATGTAGATTTTATGACCAGCAGTAGTAGGACGTTTTTGCAATGTTTTCATCGTACAATTGTCCATTTGTTTTTCCTTTTACAGTTTTGGGTACAGAAAGTTTTCTGCCATACCACTTATTTGTATCTGCTTCGATTAAAAATCAGTGAAATTAACATAATTTTATTGCAATATGTTCTGCTACAACCTGGTAAAAAAAAAACAGTTTTACCCTATTTTCATATATAGAGAGAGGTTCAGGGCTTCCAGCTACTGAGAAACAAGGAAGCTTTGAATTTCACCCAATCGCTAATGTTTGTCCATGACGACACTATGAAACAGCTGAACGAGGCGACTTAATGTTAATTCAGTATTTGGAAGAGTCGCCACTTGAAACCACCTATTTTAATAGTTCAAAAACCAAATACACCTGAATGTTTGTTGAAACATGTAGTGAAAATTGTGTTGGCACCATTGCAGGTACCAAGGACAATAGCTTGGAGCAGAAAAATCTGAACTGAACAGATTGGGTCCCCTGGAACTGATTTCATCAGATTATAAAAACATAACATATTCTTTTCAGTGGGATTTATTTTGTTGAATAGTGAAGTCCATAAGAAACCAGTTTGTTCTTCATTTCTATGGGGAAAGGAAAAACAAGAGAAACTATTTCAAATGAAACCACTAAATTAAAATGGCAGCAATTAGCAAACATTAAACCACTTCTTATGGTCTTGCTCCTCCATCTTGTTATTATTTTCTCTTATTTATTTGTTGTTGGGTTTTTTTGCATTTTTATAACAAGCTACAAAGTTCTACTCCTGTGCACCGTCTGGATCGGATGCTGCTTTTCCTGTCACGCAACACAAATGTTTGGCGCAGCGAGCTTTCCTCAGACAACAGGACACTCGGCTCAAATTAAAAAGAGGACACAACTGAGGCCGGTCGCAGTGGCTCCCGCAAAACTGTAGGAATCTGTTCTGGATTTATTGGTTTCAATTTCACACCTCTCCTCTGTTAATGCCCGCTGTTTCGCTTTGCTCCTCACCTCCCGTGCGCACGCCAATCCCCAAATTGCCAGAGTTTTTACCATGAAAACAAAAAAGTCTTCTCACTGTCTTTTGGATTTTTTTGCCTCATTCGGGTATTGGTTTATTACCGTCATTTTTTTTCCTGCTTTTTATTTAGAAGATGAGAAGATCGAGCCGTCTAGGTGAACTCTAATCTAATTAACTCTCCATGCAGTTATTTCAGTGGCAAGCTGCCACCTGTTTAGTTTGAGCTCCATTTAAATGCCACATCAGACTTCACCAAACTAATTTCTTGA